TCATGAGTGGCCCTCAGGAGAGGCCCACCTACCCAGGAACAGCTGACTTTGGTGAGAACCGACACCTGCCAACCACTACGTGGCTGAGCTTGGAAGTGGATCATCATCCAACCGAGCCCTTGTGTGAGACTGCAGCCCCAGCCTACACTTGACTACAGCCTTACAAGAGACACTGAGCTGGAAGCACCCAGCTAAGCCACACCCAGATTCCTGACCCGCAGAAACTATGAGACAATAAACATGTGTTGATTTAAAACACTACGTTTAAAGCAATTTGTTAACATAGCTATTAATGCAATCCCTTAAGAACTAAAATAATATACTTCTCATCTGTATATCCCTTATGTACCTAGGCCAGAACCTTTCTTGTAAAAGAATTTAACAAGTGTTTATTGAATTGAGAGAATGGTAGTCTTTACCTCCCCTCAAGAAGTGTATCATCTAATTGTGGAGTGGGAAAATCAGACATTTAACAACTAACCACCCAAATATGTGTAGACTAACAACAGTGAAGAGTTCCAGAGGGAAGCCTGAGTGGTATAGGGAAGTCCATGAGAGAGAGATGACCCGTCAGGAAGATTAGGGGAGTCTTGTGAAGTGACGGCCAAGCTGAGACCAGAAGGAAGACCAAGAGTTAGTGAAACAAGGAGAAATGAAAAGCTGCTCCAGTCAGAGGAATAAGCATGCACACAGGCCCTGTAGCAAGTGTGAGCATGAAAGCAAGCAGGGTGACTATCTGAAGTGCAGAAGGGGAGGAGGTAAGTGTGATGTGGGCTATGTGATAAGGTCAAACTACCTCCACCTCGCAGGCCACATTGAGGGTTCTGATTGTTAACCAGGGTGATCAGGAGCCATCGACACATTGGGGGTGTGTGTGTGTGTGTGTGTGTGTGTGTGTGTGTGTGTGTGTGTGTGTGTAAGGGGTGACTTTATCAGAGTTTCATTTCCAGCAGATCCTTCTACCTGCCTTTTAATAATGGATCACAGGGCAGGGAGCATGTAAGTGGGTAGACTTTATAGGAGGCAATTACAACAGTCCAGAAAAAGTGGCCTAATGGTTTGGACTAATGGTTATGATGCAAATAGAGAGACATCAACATATTAGAGAGCTATCCAAGAATGACAGTCTTGGGACAGCTTTGGATATGGAAGCATGACAAGAGGGCTGTGAAGGGGACTCCTGTGTCCCTGGTGTGTTTCCGAGGGTGTTGGTAGGGATGGCTGAAGCCAAGAGCACTGAAGGAAGGTATGGGGACCTCTCCAAATGAGGACGTGAATGAGATTTCAATCACAGAGACTCTGCTCAACCCATTTTGCTGGCTCTTTCTCTAGGGGGCATTTTTGCTCCTCTTCTGGTTCTCTGCTGTATTCCAGACAGGGGAAACATTACAACATACCTACTAGCCTCAGAATCTACTTAATGCATCTGGCAACGTATGAATTTCTGCCTGCGGGGCCAATCCAACTGATGTCACATATACAACTAGAAAAAGACATTTAATTATATCTGTGAAAATGGTTCCCTTCCAGTCCCTTCACTCATGAGAAAGGTTGGAGCTGCTAGTGGACCTTCAAGGGCCTCTGTTTTATCTTAACAATGATAATGACATTGACTAGATACCTGCTGTATGCCAGGCACTCTGTGGGCCTCTTTGCATACATTATCTATAATTTCAACGGCAAGACACTACAATTTCTATAAATGAAGAAATACTCAGGGAGGCAGAGTAATTTCCCAAGGCAACAGAGTGATAAGTTTGTGGAGGCAGGATTGGAACCCAGGTCTGCAAGACTCCAAAATCTGCATTCCTTCTCTCATCTCACCTCTTCATTTCACCCACATAGTCAATCCACTTTGGCTGTCGAGGCAGCTGAAAATACCAGATCAGTAACTTTTACTATTTTCCTCCCGTACTGTAACCAACCAGCAATGATTAAGAAAGGAACCCTAATTAACCAAGCCTGAGGTTCTGGAGGTGAGAAACTGTGTGCTTTAAATCATTCGAGCACGATGCATTTTTCATGATGAGTAGGCAACAGTTACCTTACAGAGCTGCTCCAAAGAGACAGAATGACTGGGGAGACTTCACATGTATTCGATGTATTGAAGGAAAGCACTGTATCTTTTTAGAGCATGCTTTTAAAAAGTAGTGAAGTAGAAAAAGTCCAAGAAGAATCGGTCTTGTGTGGATGTGTCATGATGCTCAAAATAATGAGATTTCCAGGTGTATAAACATATGAAGAGCTGCTTTGGGGATAAAGAACGGGCTCTGGACTTCTTTGAATTCTACGCAAAGGTCTACAAAGCAGAGAAACTGAGGATGCTTCAGCTGGATGTGAAGAAGGGAGAGGCCCACAAATACATTGCTTAGGCAGGGACAAAAACAGCCCCCCAACCTCAAAGGCTTTCACCAAGGCTTTCGTTCACTCCAGATGACCACACTCACAATTCCATCAAGAACCAGAATCTATATAACTCATAATGAAAAGTCATGTGATCACAAGTTCAAGAACATAGCACCTCCCACCACAGTCCACTTCCTGGGCCTCCCTGAAGGCACTGAACACACTGGGTAGCACCAGGTCATTCTCTCATTCCAGTCTGGATGAATGGCCTCCCCTTTGGCTGTGCCCCCCAAAACACACCCTTGGGGTTGGCCCTCCATGGTTCATTGCTATTAGGAAAAAGAGAGCACAGGATATTACAAGGACAGGAAGGGGGGGTTGGAGTTGAGGGACACAGGCACTAGGCTGAATGTAAGAGATTAAATGGCAAGCAGGAGCAGCAAGAGCCCCTGTCCTCCTGACACTTATGAGGGGAGACCCCAGGAAAAATGGAATTTATTTATAGAAACGTATACTTATTCTTACATGTTTAAACTTCAGTCACCTTCAAAGTACTCTCCCTTTGATGCTATACACCTACCGAGATACTTTTTCCACTACTCAAAAAATGAACTTGTCCTTTTCGGTGCCTCTTAGTGCTTCTGCTGTTTCTTGTTTCGCCTCTTCCACATTGGCAAAATGTTTTTCTTTGGGGACTTTTTCATCCGGGGAAACAAGAAAAAGTCATTTGGGGTGAGATCAGATGAATAGGAAGGTTGGGGCATGAGCGGCCATGCCATTCTGGGTCAAAAACTGCTGAGCACTCAGCATGGTGAGGGCAGGGACACTTATAAATCACCCATCACGAAATGGGCAAATGTGTTGAAATAATCTCCAAATAAATATTCTAAACTAATATTCTGAAGCTAACTAAACACAGCCTCTTACAACAATGCTAGCTGGTCCACTGATGCCAATGGGTTCCTAGAACACTCACTTTGTGGGGGGAAGCCTGTACTACAAGGGACCCTCCCTCAAACAGATAATTCCAGCTTTTTGGGGGGTGGGGGTCCCCCCTTGTACTTGGTTAAGCCACCAGTTTCCAGCCCAGGTGAGTTCCCTAAGCCTAAATGCTCTCACCTATAAGATGTAGATCGTAACAATCCTATATCAGAAGGGAGCTGGTAGGATAACATGAGAGAAATACCAAATACAGAGCACACAGAGTCCCTGCTCACCTACCCTACCCTTGTCACTGTCATTTACCACTCTACCCCCTACCCCAGATGGTCTGGGAAAATTATATTGGGAATTAGAAACATACCCATGAAACCTGAAAATATACCTTCACCTAAAAACTTGTACACAAATATTTGTAGCAATATTATCCATAAAAATAAAAAGTAGAGACAAACCAAATGCCCACCAAATTGAAAAACTGTCACAGAAAATGTGGCCTATCCACACGATGGAATATTATTCAGACATAATAAGGAATGAAGTATGAATACATACTGCAACACGGATGAACACTGAAAACACACTAAGTCAAAGAAACTAGACACACAAGACCACATATTATATGATTCCATTTATATGCACCGTCCAGATTGAGTAAATCCACAGAGAGAGAAAGTAGACGAGTGGTTTCCAGGAGCCTAGAGGAGAGGAGAATGAAAGTGACTGTTAATTGAGCGTGAGGTTTCTTCTCGGGGTGGTGACAATGTTCCAGAATTAGATAGAGGTGATGCTGCCGTAACCTGGGGAAAATACTGAAAACCTCTGAATTGTGCATTTTCTTTTCAATTAAATTTTATTTCATTACAGAGATGTGAAGTACAAGTGAGAATTAACTACTTAACTACTTAACTGCATGCAAGTAGGTTGCATGCAGGTGAAGTCTGGGCCTCCAGCTGGCCCTCATTCCCCCTGGTACAGGACCAGGCGCTTTTTGTGTTGTTACGTGCCCACTCCCAGCAGTGCCCAGTGACTACTCATCCCCCCTGGAGTTAATATGATGAATGTTTAGGTGCCACTTATGAGTGAGATGATGTGGTATTCAGTTCTTTGTTTCTGTGATAGACTACTAAGTATGAGAGTCTCCGACTCCACTCAATTTGCTGCAAAGTCCATGATTCTGTTCTTCATTATGGCTGCATAAGTACTCCATCATGTCTATGTACCATATTGTCTTTACCCAGTCCATTTTTGATGAACAGTAAGGTTCTATAGTTTTGCTATTGTGAACAGTGAGACAACTGAATGGTGAAATTTATGATATGTGAGTTCTGTCGCAATAAAATATAGATACAGATCTATTAACTGAGTGAATTCTATCTAAAGCAAAGAAATGCTGATTACAGTAAAGTTTAGTTAGAAAAGCCCAAGATACAATGCTTGGATTCTGGGTCCACTCTCTGACTAAGTCTGTGACCAGGATCAGTTGAGTGAATCTCTCTGTGTCCTGTGGTCTTCATCATTACCTGGCCACAAAGATCAAATGAGATAACATATGTAAAGTGAATAGCAAATTGTACCCTGTGTCAAGTTTTTATGCATGTCAGTTATTTTCATCAACTCCCCAATGGAAGAAAAGAGAAAGCCCATGTACTGTTCTGAATGAGAGAGAACCACAGCCCAGCCCACCTTGAGCCCCTTGGGCAGGAGCCTTTTACCTCGGGAGTCAGTGCGTTGTTATCCGAGGTCTGACTGGACAGTAGGATGTGAGTGAAGCCCTCTTCTTTCCGCACGACAATGTCTCGAAACCGACAGTTGCTTTCATTCTGGCGGACGCTGTACCTGAGCCTTTTGTCAAAGACATAATCCTTTTCCGTTTCCAGCTTCCTCTTCACCGGGCTGTGCAGGTTCAATCCCCCGTTGGCCATAGTAGAGCCTTCCAAAACCAGATAAACAACATGAGAAATTGACACAGGCCACAATCCCATAAGAGCATTCCCTGAGAATGCGGGGAAAGGCTCAGATGTATCTGGGAGCCCCATGCTACCTTCTGTTCTAGGGTATGGAGGGAGGAAGAGCAAGGCTTAATTCCTACATCTCCAAATTCAGAAGAGGACCTGGAGGGTTCTCTGTGAAGGTCTGATGCAGTCCCTGACTCCTGTCTCCCACACAGTGGCCTATGTGCATCTAGCTTCTACTCAGATGTCTTAGCAACAGAGAACACACTGACCACCGTGAGAGGCAGCCCTCTCCACTGGTGAAACCTAAGACAAGGAGTTATTAACAAGAGCAACCCCAGCCACTGACCTTTATCCAATCCATATTATGTGTTAAGCACCATCCTAACACACTCCACAGGCATTATCCCATTTATATGAGAACCACAGATGGGGCTCTGGGACCTTTGGTGCTTCCTTTGGGACTGCCCTGAGATGAGGGAGGTGAATCCCAAGCAGACAGGGTCTTCTTGTCTCTCTCCTCTTCTCCCTAACCAATTACAAAGGCTTTTCACTCTTCTATTTTATGTATTAGTATTCACAAGTGGACAGAGAGGAAACTGCTAAAACGTGAAAACTAGTAACAAAATAACCCAGACGTATGATGGTTTCCAATCTCCAGCCTGCCGGGAGAGACATGTCAGAAGCTACTAGGATGTTTGTTCTAAAGAATGCATGCCCAAGCCTGTGAACCCCAAATCTCCATCTGAAGCAGATCTGGAAGATGCTCAAATGTGTACCTTGAAAACATTTTGCAGTCCCCACCCACAAACAAAAGAGGGAGAGAGGAGAGAGTGTGAGAGAGAACGAGAGAGACAGAGAGACAGACAGAAAGACACAAATTACCAATATCAGAAATAAAAGAGGCTATCACTATTGATCTTATGGACATTAAAAGAATAATAAAGAAATACTATAAAAAACTGCTCTGCCCATTTATTTGATAACTTAGATGAATGGACTGATTTCTTGAAAGACACAAACTTCCAAATATATACAAGGAAAAATACATCATCCTAATAGGCCTGTATATATGAAAGAAATTGAATCAATAATTAATAATCTGCTAACAAAGAAAGCACCAGGCCCATACCTCCTAACTCCATGACGCCAGCACTACCATACTACCAAAGCCAGATAAACACATTATAAGAAGACAAAGCCACAGACAAATATCTCTCATGAACACAGATACAAAAATCTTCAACAAAATATTAGCACATCAAAGCCAACGATGTGCTAATGTGTAAATAAAACTACATGGTACAAACAGGTATGCAAAGCTCGCTCAATATTTGAATAGCTGGTTAAAATATCTACTGCATCAAAAGATTAAAAAAGAAAAATCATACAATCATATCAATTGATATAGAAAAAGCATTAGACAAAGTCCAATAGAAAGAGGCTTTCTCATGCAAATTCAAACCACACTGAGATACCACCTAACTCCAGTCAGGATGGCCATCATCAATAACTCAAAAAACAACAGATGCTAGAGAGGATATGGTGAAAAAGGAACACTTCTACACTGTTGGTAGGAGTGTAAACTAGTACAACCCCTATGGAAAACAGTTTGGCAATTCCTAAAAGATCCAAAAGTCGACCTTCCATATGAACCCATAATCCTCCTACTGGGAATATACCCAGAAGAACTCAAATCATTCTATGCAAAAGATACCTACACATGCATGTTTATTGCAGCATTATTCACAACAGCAAATACTTGGAACCAACCATGCTGTCCATCGAAAAAGGACTGAATTTTAAAAATATGGCACATATGCAAGATGGAATATTATGCAGCCATAAATTAGGACAAAATTGTAAACTTTGCAACAACTTGGATGGACTTGGAGGCTATAATAATGGGTGATCTATCACAGAAACAAATAACTGAGTATAACCTGTTCTCACTCATAAGTGGATATTCAACAATTATCATAATACTATAAGAAAAGGATTGGCAGTAGTGGGAAACTGCCAGGGGAGGGGCTGTGGGGGATTGGCAGTAGTGGGAAACTGCCAAGAGGGTGGGGGGCAGAGTCATCAGCAAGGATACCTGCATAATGAACATTTGTACAACTAACCCTGAATTGTGCCCCACATCTTTAAAATTAAAAATTTTTAAATAAATAAAGAAAAAGAAAGAAAGAGGCTTTCTCAACTTGATAAAGAACATCTACAAAATACCTACAGGTCATATCATGCTTAATGATGAGAAACTGGATGTTTTCCCCTTAAAATCAGAAATTTTAAAAAGGATAGTCTCTCTCTTATTCAATATCACACTGAAAGTCCTTGCTAGTGCTGAAAGATTTTTAAAGGAAATAAAAGGTTATAGAGATTAAGAAAGAAATAAAATGATTTTTGTCCACAGATAGCAAAACTGTCTACATAGAAAGCACCAAAAAATTGAAAGAAGAAAAAAAAACCACTCCTGGAACTAATAAGCAAATCTAGCTAGGTCACAGCATACAAGGTTAAAAGACAAAAGTCAGTTACTTGGCCACATACCAGAATGAGCAACTGGAATGTGACATTTAAAAAACATATCTTGTAAACAATAGTACAACAGGGAGATGATAGTTAACAAAAATTTATTGTATGTTTCAAAGTAGCTAGACAAGGAGAACTGGAATGCTTTCAATGCAAATAAAATATAAATAATGGGTATAAAATAATATAAATATAAAAAATAAAAGATGGATATTGCAATTACCTGGTTTGATCATTACATATAGTATGAAGGTATCAAAATTTATCACATGTACCCCAAAATATGTACAACTATTACCTATCAATTTTTGAAACTTTTAAAAACTGCTATTTATGGCAGCATTCATATCAAATACTTAGATATAAATCTAACAAGACTTGTACAGGAACTATAGGTGAAAAGCTGCAAAATTCAGATGAAAGAAACCAAGAAAATCTAAATAAATGGAGAGATATTCTGTGTTCATGAACTGAAAGGCTCAACACAGTGTAATCCCCATCAAAATCCCAGCAGAATATTGTAGCTATTGGCAAACTGATTCCAAACTTGATTTTAGAGGGCAAAAAACCTAGATAATGGAAGAGTAAGAACAAAGTCAGAGGACTCATGCCATTCAACTCCAAGACTTAGTATAAAGCTACAGTAATCAAGACAATATGGCATTAGTGAAAGACATACAGGTCGGTGGTGCAGAATGGAGAACCCAGAAATAGACCCATGCTAGGATAGTGAAGTGATCTTTGGGGGGAAAAAAAAGTGAAGACTATTCAATGGAGAAAGAATAGTCTTGCTCAACAAATGGTACTGACATGAATGAATGTCCATTTGCAAAAGATTTTTTAAAAATGAAGCTAAACACATACCTTACATTTTGCACAAAAACTAACTCAATATGGATCACAGACCTAAATGTAAAATGCAAAAATATAAGGCTCCTACAAGGTAACACAGGAGAAACCTTGGGTTTGGCAGTAAGTTTTTAGATACAACACCCAAAATGAAATTAAAAACTGATAAGCTGTAATTAAAAACTGTTCTTTGAAGGAGCTTGTTAAGAGAATCAAAAGATAAGCCACATACTTTATGAAAATACTCTGGAAAATATATATCTGACAAAGATTTTTGTAACAAAATTATACAAAGAACTCTGAAAAAGCAACAATAAGAAAACAAACAACATGATTTTTAAATGGTCAAAACCTCTGAAAAGACACCTCACCAAAGTTATACAGGTGGCAAATAAGCATATTAAAAAGGCATGCACCATTATTTTTCATTAGGGAATTAAAGCAAGGGCATTAAAGCCAAGAGATGCCACTGCACATACATTAGATTAGCTAACATCCAAAAACCTGACAATACCAATAGCTACTAAGGATACAGAGCAACAGGAACTCTCATTCACTGCTGATGGGAAAAATGGTACAGCTACTTTGTAAGACAGTTTGGTCTTTTCTTAAAAAGCTAAACATAGCCTTGCCATACAATCTAGCAATTGCCTTTTAGGTATTCACTCAAATGATTTGAAATCCTACAGTCACAAAACAAAGCACTTTTTTTTTTTTTTGAGTTGGAGTCTCACTCCGTTGCCAAGGCTTAAGTATAGTGCCATGCTCACGGCCATCCCATCATCGACCTCCTGGGCTCAGGTGATCCTTCCACCTCATGAGCCCATATAAATACAAATAAATGACTGAATAAATACTTAAATGCAGAAGAGACAAATCTTCCATGCAGAAAACTTCCAAAAATTTATAGAAATACTCCAACCTTAAGGCAATGAAGTGTGGGCTACACACAGTGACTCACATCCCAAGAGCACAGTATGAAAAGGGGGATGGGAGAGTACCTTTACAGTGGAGAAACCTGGCCAACATGCCTCAGCCAGGTGATGATGGTCAACATCCACAGTGACAGGTCATGTTCACAATCTACACCTTTGATTAGCATGTGATGAGAAGGGCACATGACCTCTGGGGTCTTCCTCCTAATAACCCATAACCCTATTCTAATCATGATAAAAACATCAAATAAATCCCAGTTGAGGTACATTCTACAAAGTCCTGAGCAGCCATCCTCAAAGTTCTCAAAGCCATTGAAAAGGAGGAAAGTCTTTGAACCTGTCATAGCCGAGAGGAATCTGAAGAGACATGATGATTGAATGTAATACAGTGTCCTGGATGGGATTCTGGTACAGACATTTGGTCAGAACTAAGAAAACATAAATGAAGCATGGATTTTAGTTCATAATAATGTATTAATACTGGTTCTTCAATTTTAACAAAGTTATCATTCCAATGTAAGATGTTAATATTAATAGTAGATACTAAGTGTGGGTTATATAGAAACTCTCCGTGTTGGTGCTCCAATTTTTCTGTAAATCTAAAACTGCTTAAAAAGTGAAGTTTAGTTTAAATAATATATTTTTAAAATTAAGTTCAT